GGGGGGGGGGGGTGAGACAGAACCTGGCCTAGGGCCCCCCCTCCCGCCTCTCCAAAACGCAGGGACCTGGGGGGCCCCGGCCTCCCCCACCCCCCAGCAGGTTCCCGGGCACCTGTCTCCCCCGGCCGGGGCCCACCTGTAGCCGTAGGCGGTGAAGCCCTGGCTCTCCCGCAGCAGGGCCCGGTACAGCCTCAGCACCTGGGCCCGGCTGGACGCTGCCATGTTGCTGGCACAGTCGGGTCCTCCCTCTAAGGCCCCTTCGCCCGCTCGCCCGCGCAGGAGCCTGAGCTCAGGGCGGCCGCCTCAGCCCAGGGCGGGGGCGCGGGGGGACCCCGGGGCGGGGCGGAGACCAGGGCCGCCCCCTGCCCGGCTCCGGCTCTGCTGCTCGGCACCCAGCGTCTCGGTCCCGGCCGGCGGCCTCCGCTCGCGGCGTGTCAGGCGGGGCTCGGGCAGCTACAGCGGCAAGCCCGCGGGGCGAGAGAGCCGAGGGGGACGGTGAGTGGCGGCTGGGAGGGCCCCCGCGGGGCCCCACGTGGGGATACGGTACGGTGCGGGGCGCGGGGACAGCCGCTGCAGGGGCCAGAGGCGCTTCCCAGGGTCGCTGTCGCCGCGTGGTTCCCCGGTGTGCAGCCCTGCCTCTAGCGGGCAGCCTCCCGGCCACGGGGATGGGCGTTCACAGCCTCCCCTGGGGGGCTGCTCTGGGCCTGAGACATCCCCAATCTCCCACCCCACCTCGCGTTATGAATATTACTGTGTTCCTGATTGATTTATTTAGGGACTAAGAGGGTATTCACCCCAGCTTGCACAGTGAAGTGCTCAGAACAAAGACCCTTTACTCTGCCCCTGCCTGCCTCCCAGAGGGTTAAAGTGGGTGGAAGCTGTGTTGTTTTTGTGGATACAGACTAACACGGCTACCCCTCTGATACTTGTGTTAAGTGAAAAGTTTTCTGATGAATAGTGAGCGTATTACACCCAGGGCCGGCTCTAGAATTTTTGCCGCCCAAGGCAAAAACAATTTTGGCCGCCCCGCCCCAACTCCGCCCCTTCCCCCAGGCTCTCAAGTCTGAGAGGGAGGGGGAGCAGCGGCGCGCGAAACGGCTGCTCGGGATCTCCCCCGCCCTCCCAGATTTG